AACATACCAAATATGTTTTCTGATCAGAATGGATTTAACTTAGAAATCAAATAACAGAAAGATAATTTAAAAATTCCCAAATATTTGGACCAAAGTAGCACTTTTCAGTAACCCATGGGTCAAAGAAGAAATCAAAAAGAAAAAGAAAAAATAGTATTTTGAGTTGAAAGAAAATTAACACAAATGAAAATGTGTGGGAAGCAGCTAACACAGTACTTAGAAATAATAACAGCACTAAATGCCTGTTATAAAAGAAAGATCTCAAATCAATGACTTCAATTTCCACCTAACAAATTAGACAAAGATGAGCACTGAACTCCAAAGTCAGCATGAGAATGGAAATAATAAAAATTGGAATGGAAATCAATAAAAAAAGAAACAGAAAAACAGAAGCTGGCTCTTCAAAATCAATAAAACCAATAAATCTTCATGCAGACTGATGAGGAAAAAAAGACAATATACAGGTTATCAATATCTGGAATGGCAGAGGTAATCTAGATATAAATTCTATAGTTATTCAATGAATGATAACAGAATGTTATGAAACTTATGTAAATAAAATTGACAACTTAGATAAAATGAAAAATTTCTTGAAAGAATCCAAACTACTAAAGCTTACTCAAGAAATAGATAATCAGAACGCTTATAAATCTGAAATAGAATTTGTCACTTAAGCATTCCAAATATTTTCATTTATCTCTTTTATTATTAATTTAATTCTGTTACTGTCAAGCAATATACTTTATGGAATAACTGCTTTTTAAAAATATATTAAGATTTGTTTTATAGTCTGTCTTGGAGAATGTTTCATGAACACTTAAAAAGAACATGTACCCTGCTCTTTTTGAGTGAAATGTTTTTACAAATGTCAATGAGGTCAAGTTGGTTGGTCATGTTGTTCAGGTCTTCTATATGCTTACTGATTTTCTGCCTACTTGTTTTATTAATAAATGAAAGGAGTGATGAAATCTCCAATGACAATTGTGAATTTGTCTTTTTCTCCTGTTAGTTGTATTGTTTTTTCCTTATGTAATTGTGCCTCTGCAATTCAACACATATACATTTAGAATTTATCTTTTCCTGGAAAACTGACCCTTTTATTATTATATAATCTCTGTCTCTATCATTGATTATATTATTGGTTCTGAAGTCTACTTCATTTGATACCAATAGTAATTTAAGCTTTTTGTTAATGTTTGCATGGTGTATCTTTTCCTTACCGTTTAGCTTACATATGCCTTTATATTTAAAGTGTGTTTCTGGTAGACAGCATATAGTTAGATCCTACTTTTCCATTCAGTCTTACATTCTGTCTTTTAATTGGTATATTTAGACCATTCACATTTGATGTAATTTTTATATAGTGGAATTAAACATCCTGTTAACTTTTTTCTAATTGTTCCATTGACTCTCTGGTTTTTGTTCCCTCTCTTTTTGCCTTTTTGTTTTTTGATTTTTAATGATTTTATTATGTCCTATTATTATTTATATCTCTTTTTAAACATTTTAATAGTGACTACTTTAGGGTTTATAATACAACTTTAATACATCATTAATTAATCAGAATATACTTTCAAATAATACCACTTAATATATTCCCATTTTCTCCCAAGCATCCTTTATGCTTCTCTCCTATTTCACTTTTATATGCTTTAATACAGCCAGTTACCATTTGGATAAATTTTAAAAGTTATTTTACCTTTATTAATTCCATTTCCATATCTCTTCATTTCTTTGTGTATCTTCAAGTATCTGTTGTGTTTCATATTCCTTCTGCTTGAAGAACTCATTTAACATTTCTTGTAGAGTAAGTCTTCTGGCAATATATTCTCTCAGTTTTGTTTCTGTCAGAAAGTCTTCATTTCTTTGTCAGTTTGAAAGGTATTTTCATGAACTATTTTATGAAGACACGTTTTCTTTCTTTCAGCACTTTAAAGGTGTTAGTACATAGTTCTCTGGCTTGCAATGTTTCTGATAATTCTGCTCTAATTCTTTCTTATCTTTGTTCCTCTACATGTAATGACTCCCCATCCCACAGTGCCTTCCTTCAAAATTTTCTGTCTTTGGCAGTTTGAACATGGTATGTCTACGGATGTATGTGTGTGCACGTTTAGTATTTACTTCTTTTGGTGTTCTCCAAGCTTCATAGATTTGTGTTGTAGGGTCATTAATTTTGGAAATTTATTAGCCATTACTTCTTCAAATATTTCTTCTGCCCCAGTTACTTTCTCTATGCCTCCTGGGATTCAATTTATGTGTGTTGAACCAATGGCTATTTCTCCACAGTTCTTGGATTCTCTGTTCCTTTTGTCACTGCTCCTCCCACCCCTATGTTTCAGTTTGGGTAATTTTTATTGACCTGTCTTCAAGTTAACCTATTCTTTCCCTGGCTGTATCAAGGATATTGATGAACCTGTTCAAGACATTGTTCATCTGCTTACTGTGTTTTTCATTTCTAGTATTTCCATTTGATTCTTTCTTCTCTCTCTCTCTCTCTCTCTCTCTCTTTCTTTCTTTGACAGAGTCTCGCTTTGTTGCCCAGGCTAGAGTGAGTGCTGTGGCATCAACCTAGCTCACAGCAACCTTAAACTCCTGGGCTCAAGCGATCCTCTTGCCTCAGCCTCCCGAATAGCTGGGACTACAGGCATGCGCTGTGCCACCATGCCCAGCTAATTTTTTCTATATATACTAGTTGGCCAATTAATTTCTTTCTATTTATAGTACAGACGGGGGTCTCGCTCTTGTTCAGGTTGGTTTCAAACTCCTGACCTCGAGCAATCCACCTGCTCGGCCTCCCAGTGTGCTAGGATTACAGGCATGAGCCACCACTCCCAGCTTGATTGTTTCTTATAGTTTCTCTCTGTTCAAATTTCCCATCTAATCCTGGATGTTGTGTACTTTTTCCATTAGAATCTTTAATATATTACTCATAGTTATTTTAAATTCCATGTCAGAATAACCAACAGCTATATTGTTTCTGAATCTAGTTATGAGGACTGCTGTTTCTTGGTGGGTGGTTAGGCTTTTTTGCATTTTGTATGCCTTGTAATTTGTGGGGTTTCTTTCATCCTGAAAGCCAGATATCTTTTGTAGGATAGTAGAAACGGAAGTAGATATATTTAATTACTGGAAAGAGCAAGTCTTTCCTTCTATTGAGCCTTTAATGAATGGGGAGGGCTTGCATTAATATAGTTAAAAATTGGGTAGGTTTAAAGTTTGTTGTTGCTATGGTTAACCTAAATTCACCACAGGTTTCAAATACCACTAGTGATTCCTTATTTTTAGGGTGAGGGCTAGTTTTCACAAGGGATAATCTCAATGTTTAGGTCACCTTCAGGTTTAAGTGTTACCTTTGGATTATGCTTCAGAGACAGTGCAGCTATAACTAAAATATTTTAATAATTCATTCAAATATTATTGAGTACTTACCACTTAACTATGTGTTAGTCACCATACTAAATGCTAGAAATTTTAACTCCCCAAATACCTTCTGTCATTATTTTATGCGTGTGTACATTTTTCTTTGTCTTTAATAGCCTTCCAAATTTGTGTGCCTAGCAAATTCTTGTTATTCCTTTAGTATAATAGGTAATAGTATTAATTACCAGCTCCCAAAAGCAATCCCCAAATTCTCCATCACCATGGATTTCATCAGCCTCTTCTCTGTGCTACCTGTACACCTTATACATATTTCTGTATTTTATTATCTTGTATTCCCTGGTAAACTGTATGTGCCTGTGGGCAAGAACAGTGTCTTATAAGTTTATATATCCCTGAGGTTTACCAGTGATTGGTCCATAGTAGCTACATGCACAACAAATGTGCACATGAGACAAGGCATACTGGTGGCTTATGTCTGTGACCCCAGCATTTTGGGAGGCCAGGCCAAGAGGATCGCTTGAGGCCAAGAGTTCAAGACCAGCCTGGACAACATAGTGAGATCCCCATCTGTAAAAAAAAAAAAAAAAATTCTTTTTTTTAAATATTCAGGTGAAATGTTTGCTAAAGGAGACCTACAAATCCATAGGCATCCAATAAAAGTAAAATGTTTCCATAATGGGTTCTCCTACAGCAGCCTAGTGATAAAACATTGTTTTTGGTCAGTTTAGTTTCAGAATTTCAAAAGACACCCTTGACTTTCTTCTTAGTTTGGATGCTATTTTTAAAACTCACATAATACAAAATAACTAAAATAAATAATGATGGTTTCATTCCTATAGAAAATAATTTAGTTCCTAGTAGTTGGGAACACACATAAGCCTGGAGTTACTTTACCTTTACAACACCCTCACAGATGTCTCTAAAAGCTGAAGGAGTTGTGAAGGAATGTGCAAATGAGATGAAGTGAGGATTTTTGACTAGGTCAGAAATAAGGCAGCAAGGATAAGCAATTCTCACAATCAATTCCATGTTAGGTTTTATATTACAGTGTATTACCATTCTCATACACTCTTTAAAGCTCCCAAAGGGACAAAAAATGCAATAGGCAATAAAACTGAGGAAATAGGTGACTGTGGGCAGGGCATCCTCCGTTCCTCTCCACTCTTCAGGTGTGACTGTGTCACCACTAATCTGGAACCAACATCTCCAACAGGTTGGCAGAGGAATTAACAAAGTAGATGATATATGTAGAAGGGGAGGGAGAAAAGACATGCCTCTCCATGAGCCTTCTCGGTACTGTTTGCTTACCCATTTGCTCTAAGTGGTGATTTTTTTTATGCTTACTTTACACATCTGAAAGGACACGTTTAAATGGGAAGGTGGAGATTTTTTAAATGCTTACTTTACACATCTGAAAGGACACATTTAAATGGGAAGTTAGTTGTTCTAGTATCCTGCATGCATACTCACACCTCACAATTTTGGTTGTTGTTTTCTCAGTTATTGTCAAAGTTAGAATGACCTACCCCATGTGATCATACACTCCATGAAGTCATCTCAACAAGATACAGGTGTTATTAAAAATACCTCTTGCAGAAGGAAAACTAACACAGAAGAACCCACTTCTCACAGAACTCTGATTTTATTTCTTACATATTTGGCACAAATAAGAAAGGGACTCAAAGCTACCACATATGGTGAACAGCTGACAGGAAAAGAGCTCAGTATACAAATCTAGGGTTTCCCCCAGATATTAGCTCTACCTGCCATAACAAATACCACAGACTGGGTGGCTTAAGCAATAGGAATGTACTTCTCACAGTTCTGGAGCCTGGAAGTCCAAGATGTCAGGTTCTGGAGAGGGCTGTCTTCCTGATTTGCAGACAGCTTCTTTCTTTCTGTGTCTTCACATAGCACAGAGAGGGCAAGCTCTGTGATGTTCTCTCTTATAAAGGCACTAATCCCATCATGAGGGCCCCACCCTCATGACCTCATTGAACTCTAATTGCCTCCCATAGGCCTGCCTGATTTACAAACAAAATCACATTGGGGGTTAGGGCTTCAACATATAAATCTTTGGGGGACACAAACATTCAATTCATAAGAACTTATATTTCACCAGTCACTTATTGCACACAAGTACTATTACATGAAAATATCAATGTTTCTTCATATAAATATAGACAATCGATCTTCAAAGAAAACATTCACAATTTCTGTCGGCTCTGAAGTTCCTTGTTCTTCAGTATATCCTGGTTATTTTTCTGTTAGCCTGTCTCAGCCATGTTAGATTTTCACATCATGAAGATTATATATCATCATAACCATGAAGACAGTACGGTAAGAGCTCTACTGCTATGTACCATTATGCATGATATCCTCATCTACCTAAAGACTCATTCTTATTTATTCTCAACCACCAGTTTCTTTCAGCTGAAAGTGGCACCCTGTTTTGCCAGGAAGTCCCTTCTATTTGATATGTCCAGTTCTGAGGAACAGACTCAAAAGTTTCTTCAAGTGACTTTAAATAAGGCTCAAAAGCCCCACTCATAAAAATGGACTTCACAATTGTACTTTGTTGTACATGACAAATGAAGTAACTTTAAAACTACACTGGAAGTAAAATATGAATAATTCTTATCACGTGAAAAATGGTCTTCACTCACAATGACTAATGCAGTATTCTGGACTTGCTGTAGACAATTTCCAATTCTGAGGTCAAAAGTCATGAATGACTTTTGCTCTTTGTTTCTTAAAGTGGGACGCACCATCAAATGGTCCCATATAGACAAAATTTATGTTATAGACAAATACATTTTCCCCATACCTATGCTTCTTTGACAGCCTCATTCTTCACATTTATAGATTTAAAACCTTAGGGTTTTTCTTCAGAATGTGCATTCTGGTGTCGAATCAGGGAGGAGCTCCGACTGTATGCCTTCCCACATTTACTACACTCATAGGGTTTCTCTGAAGAATGACTTCTCTGATGTCGAATCAGGTCTGAGCCACTGCTAAATGCCTTCCCACATTCATTACATTCATAGGGTTTCTCTCCAGTATGACTTCTTTCGTGTAGAATAAGGGATGTGCGCTGACTAAATGCTTTCCCGCATGTTTTACATGTATATGGCTTCTCTCCAGTGTGAATTCTTTCATGTTGGGCAAGGTGCGCACTCTGGCTGAAGGCCTTCCCACACTGATCGCATTCGTAGGGTCTATCTTCGGTGTGAATTCTCTTATGTCGAGTAAGAGATATTCGGTGACTGAAGGCTTTCCCACATTCCTCACACTGATAGGGTTTCTCTCCTGTATGAATTCTCTGATGTTCAATAAGAAATGACTGGCGGCCAAAAACTTTACTACATTTATTACACTTGAAAGGTTTGTCTTCAGAATGAATATTCTGATGTATTTTAAGGTTTGCTGTTCCAGAAAACATCTTTCCACATTCCTTACACTCAAACCGTTTCTTTTTCTTTGTATGAACTTTCTGGTGTTGAATTAGGGATGAATACCGATTACAGACTTTCTCACATTTATTGCATCTATATACTTTCTTACCATTGTGAATTCTTAGATGCAGAATAAGGGTTGAAAGTCGCCTGAAGATCTTCTCACATTTATAACATTTGTAGGGTTTCTGTGAAGTGTGAATTCGCTGATGAAGCATAAGGGGTGAAATTCTATTAAAGAATTTCCCACATTTTCTGCATGTATAAGGATTTTGCAGATGGCAACGCCTCTGCTGTAGACTCTTACTTAAGGCCTTCTGACTTTCAGGGGTTTTCTCCCTAGTATGAATTCTATTATGTAACACTAAGACTGATTTCTTTTTGAAGGCTCTCCCACACTGCTTGCATTTGTATTTTTTCTTTTCATTGTGAATTCTCTTGTGAAGTAAAAGGGATGCCATGTGACTAAAGGCTTTCCCACATGTTTTGCAATGGTGGACATTTTCGACAATGCGAATTCTCTCATGTGTACTGACAGAGGGGTACTGACTTGCAGGATTCCGACACATGTAGGTTTCGTTTCTATCATGAATTCTCCGATGTAGAATAAGGGTTATTCTTTGATTGAACCTTTTCCCACATTTATCACATTCATGGCTTTTCTTTCTATTGTGAATTCTCCGATGAAGAATGAGGGACGAAACCTGTCTGAAAACTTTTCTACAATTACTGCATTCATAAGGCCGTTCCCCAGTATGAGTATTCTGATGAAGTTTAAGAGAAAAGGTTTGACTAAAGATTTTCCCACAGTCAATACATTTTAAAGATTTCTTCCCAGAATGCCCTTTCTTGCGTTTTATTAGGACTGAATTTTTGTTGTAGCCCTTCTTTCCTGTGGGAACTTTCTGTTGTGTAGAAACTGGCTTCTGAGAGCTGCTTTGCCCAGGTTTGTTGCAGTGATTTGGAGGTAACTTCTTAGACCCTGAATCTGAAAGACATCAAGAAATTAAATGTTTCTGTTCTCCTGTGCTGAAAAACTGAAGCTTCTACAATATAAGGCAGGCATTATCATTATTAATCATAATAACAACAATCAAAACAATACATTTTTGATGTCTTATTATGGTTTCAATTACCATACCAAAGGCTTTACAGACATATTTAATAACTGGAATCCAGAAGAGTCTATAATTTGAAAATAAATATATAAAGATTTCTAGGAAAAATATTATACCATATATTGCACATTAAACTCGATAGGTTGTTCATCAGATAAATGTGTTTTTATTATATGAAATATCAAGAAAAGGCAAATATATAGAGACAGAAAATTAGTGGTTGCATAGGGTTCTAGGTCCATGAGGGATCTTACTGTGCTGATGAAAATTTTCTAAAAATGGATTATGGTGATGGCTACACATTTGATGAACTGATAAAAATCACTGAATTATATGCCAGATAGAGATGAATGTTATATGTAAATTAGACTTCAATAAACTTGTAAATTTTAAAAATGTATTCATAAAATCAAATAGTGCAAAAACTAATCTGGGGAGGCCAAGGCGGGAGGATCGCTTGGAGTCAGGAGTTCAAGACCAGCCTGAGCAAGTGTGAGATCCCATCTCTACTAAAGATAGAAAAAAGTCAGCCAGTCAACTAAAAATAGAAACAAAAAATTATCCGGGTGTGGTGGCTCGCGCCTGTAGTCCCATCTACTTGGGAGGCTGAGGCAGAAGGATCGCTTGAGCCCAGGAGTTGGAGGTTGCTGTGAGCGAGGTTGATGCCACGGCACTCACTCTAGCCTGGGCAACAAAGCGAGACTCTGTCTCAAAAAAAAAAATGAATCTAGTAGCACTTAGAATTGAGCAGGGTCATGTGTTGCTTACCGACAGGGACACATTCTAAGAAATGCACTGTGAAAGTAGGTGGAGTAAGATGGCCAAACAGATACCTCCAACAATTGTCCCTCCATGAAAACACCAAATTCAACAACTATCCACACAAGCATTATTGGAAGAACCAAAAATCAGGTGAGTGATCATACAATCTGGTTTTACATTATATAAAGGAAAGAGGTGCTGAAGAGGCAAGAAAAGACAATGTTGCATTGCCTACACCACCCCACCCACCTCCCTCAGCAGTGACACACAGGCACGCTGAGTGGAGAGAAAATCTGTGTGCCCAGGGCAGAGAGACTGAAGTGATTGTGGGACTTTGTATTGAAACTTAGGGCAGCCCTGGCACAAGGGAACACAGCAGAGGGCAGAATCTGCTGGTGACCATGGAGGGAGCATTTAGAATAGCCCAGCCAGAGGGAAATACTTTGCCCTCAAACCTGAGTTCCAGCTAGCACCACCACCACCTGACAAAAGCAGCCTGGGGCCTGGACTAAATTCCTAAAAAAGTCAGTCCTTGGTCAATTCCTGTGGCTGTACTGGCTCCAAGTCAGCCAACTTGAGGTGCATGGACCCAGTGAGACACCAGCAGCTGCAGCCAAGCCAGTGCCCATATTGTTAAGCCCCAGCTCAATTCAGGGAGAGTTTTCTTGCACTTGGGGAAAGAAAAGGGAAAAGTTCAGAGGACGTTGTTTTGGGTACCAGCTCATCCACAGTAAAACAAAGTACCAAACAGACTCCTGAAACTCCTGATTCCAGACCTTAGTTCCTGGGAAGCATTTCTGGACCTACCCTAGGCCAGAAGGAAACATGCTGCCTTGAAGGGAAGGACCCAGTTCTGGCAGGATTCACCACGTGCTGACTACAGAACCCTTGGGTTTTGAATAAATATGAGATGTAGCCAGGCAGCAGTCATCATGGGCTTTGGGTGAGACTGCAATGGCTTCCAGAGTGACCTGGTGCTGTTGGTCATGAGGGAGTGCCTACGTCACTCCTCCCCCAATTCCTGCAGTGCAGCACACAGAGGGAGGGAAAAGAGTTAGAGACTTTGCCTGATAATCCAGGGAATTCTCCTATATCTTACTCAAGTTCACCAAGGCAGTACTGCCAGGAGTCTGTAGAGTCATTACTGCACTTGGGGCAACTCAGTACTGATACAGCTGCAGTGACCAAAGACTTAGATCACTATACTCAATTCCTTGTGAATATCTGGAAAGCCTTCCCAAGAAGGATGGGTTCAAACAAGATCGATTGGGAAGACTGAAGTAAATACCTAACTCTTCAATTAACATCCACAAGCATCAAAAACATGCAGGAAAACACGACATCACCAAACAAACTAAATCAAGTACTAGCAATTAATCCTGGAGATATATTACCTTTCAGACAAAGAATTCAAAATAGCTGCCCTGAAAGAGATCAATGAACTTCAAGACAACACAGAGCAGGAATTCAGAAGCTTAGCAGAGAAATTTAACAAAGAGATTGAAATAGTAAAAAAAAAAAAAAAAAAAAAATCGAACAGAAATTGTAGAACTTAACAGCTGAACTGACAAACTGAGAAATGCATCAGAGTCTCTCAACAGCAGAACTGACCAAGCAGAAGAAAGAATTAGTGAGCCTGAAGACAGGCTATTTGAAAATATACAATCAGAAGAGAGAGAGAGAGAAAAAAAGAATAAGAATAAAGCATGCCTGCAAGATCTAGAAAATAGCCTCACAAGGGCAAATCTAAGAGTTTATTGGGACCTTAAAGAGGAGGGAGGGAGACAGAGAGGAGAGAGAGAGAGAGAAAGAGAGAGAGACAGAGAGAGAGAGAGAGAGAGAGAGAAAGAAGAAAGAGAGAGAGAGAGAAAAATCATGGTAGAAAGTTTACTCAAAGAAATAACAAAGAACTTCCCAAAGCTAAAGGAAGACATCAGTATTCAGGTACAAGAAGGTCATAGACACCAAGCAGACTTAATTGAAACAAACATTTAATTATCAAGTTCCTGAAGGTCACAGATAAAGAAAAGGCCCTAAGGGAAGCAAGAAAAAAGAAAAAAATGACATATAAAGGAGCTCCAATACATGTGGCAGCAGACTTCTCAGTGGAGACCTTACGGCATGATATATTCAAAGTGCTGAAGAAAAAGACCTTAACACTAGAATATCATATCCTGCAAAACTATCCTTCAAACATCAAGGAGAAATAAAGACTTTCCCACACAAACAAAAGCTGAGAGATTTCATCAACACCAAATCTGTCCTACAGGAAATGCTAAAAGGAATTCTTTGATATGAAAGAAACAGACACTAATGAGCAATAAGAAATCATCTGAAAGCATCCAACTCACTGACAACAGTAAGTACACAAACACAGAATACTCTTATCACCATAATTCGCTACATAAATTAAAAGACAAGCCTATTAAAAATAACTACAACTGGCCGGGTGTGGTGGCTCACACCTGTAATCCTAGCACTCTGGGAGGCCGAGGTGGGTGGATTGCTCGAGGTCAGGAGTTCAAAACCAGCCTGAGCAAGACCCCATCTCTCCTAAAAATAGAAAGAAATTAATTGACCAACTAAAAATATACATACAAAAAATTAGCCGGGCATGGTAGCACATGCCTGTAGTCCCAGCTACTCGGGAGGCTGAGGCAGGAGGATCGCTTGAACCCAGGAGACTGAGGTTGCTGTGAGCTAGGCTGATGCCACGGCACTCACTCTAGCCTGGGCAACAAAGTGAGACTCTGTGTCTAAATAAATAAATAAATAAATAACTACAACTTTTTGAAAGATAGATAGTATAAAAAGATATAGATGGAAATAACAAAACTTAAAAAGCAGCAGGGGGATGGAGTTAAAGTGTAGAATTTCTGTTAGATTTCCCTTTGCTTACTTTTTTGTAAGCTAAATTGTCATATGCTTAAAATAATTGGTTATAAAATGTTGCAAGCCTCATGGTAACCTCAAATCAAAAAAACCTACAACAGATACACACAAAAAAGTAATTAAAACACACGAGAGAAGATCACTTTTAACAAAGGAAGACAGAAAGGAAGTAAGGAAGAAAGTGAGAACCACAAAACAATGAGAAATCAAGTGACAACATGGCAATACCCCTTACCTATCAATGATAACACTGAATGTGAATGGACTAAACTCTCCAATCAAAAACTAGAGTGTCTGAATGGATAAAAAAACAAGAGCGAACCATATGTTGTCTGCAAGAGACACACTTGACCTATAAAAACACACATAGACTGAAAATAAAGGGATGGAAAAAGATATTCCATGCAAATGGAAACCAGAAGAAGAGCAGGAATAGCTATACTATACTACTATTAGGTAAAATAGATTTCAAGACAAAAACTATACAAAGATACAAAGGTCATTATTATATAATGATAAAGGGATCAATTCAGCAAGAGGCTATAACAATTCTAAATACATATATGCACTCAACACTGGAGCACCCAGATACAAAGCAAATATTATCAGAGATAAAGAAGAAGCTAGACCCAGAGAGCTCGACCCAATATAATAATTGTTGGAGATTTTTTAGCGTTTTGTCAGAAGCGTCCGCGCGGCGAGGAGGAGCCCCTGCTGATTTCCGTGCGGGCTCTTGTCAAAATGGTGAAGCTGTTTATTGGAAACTTGCCTCGGGAGGCCACAGAACAGGAGATCCGCTCACTCTTTGAGCAGTATGGGAAGGTGCCTGGATGTTGACATCATTAAGAACTATGGCTTTGTTGCCCATAGAAGAACAAACTGCAAGCTTGAGGGATGGCCCATACCCAACTGCACCACTACAAGCTTCATGGGTGAACTCAATTGGATAGCCAGCAAGAATAAGAGCAAAAACTCAACAAAGTTGCATGTGGCAACTCAGTCCCACCTGCACCAACAAGGGAAGCTTGGCCAAGGTTTGAGAGTTGAGTATGGTCCATCATTGATGTTGACATCGTCAAAGATTATGCCTTCGTATCACATGGACGGCAGAGGATGCAGTGGAGGTCCATTGCAGGGCCTTGATAACACAGAGTTTCTAAGGCAACGAATGCACGTGCAGTTGATCCACCAGCGGCTTAGGACTCGCGCCCCCGGCGATGGGG